ACGACACTTGGAACGGAACGTCACCGCTACAAGAACAATTCATTAGCTTTAAGGCATGTGAAAAGAAGCCTAAAGACAAGACAAACCTTGCATCCTTGTATTCCCACACAGTCTTTCCAGTGTTGCCATCCAGCCGTCTCACGATTCCGGTGCCTCCGCTATTAACCACGGCAATTGTATCTCTCACCCCGGAGGTAGCGGTAGCATCTTCAAGCTCCAAGAGCTCGAGATCAGCAACCACACCATCTGAAACTTGATTTTCCCATCCCACTTTGCCATCTTGGGCACTCCAAGACGAGATGTGATTACCCACCGCAGCTACAACGGCATCGTTTCCATCTAATCCGCGCAAGAGACCCGCCCCACGCGCAGGAGAGTCGGCCGACCGCGAGATGTTCTGGCGCCATACCAGGGCTCCGTCGCGGGGGTTCACAGCACCCACGAGCAGCTTGTCGGATAGAGTATAGAGGAGGGAGGCATTTGAAGATGGGGATGGCTTGAGGAAAAAGGTCGAGTCGGGGGATGGGTTGCCGAGGAGGGCGTGGTGGAAGTCGATGTGGTTGACCTCGTCAGAGTAGATGGCCGCCGCGGGCGATAGGCACGCGGCAAAAAATAGCGCCGCCTGGAGCCGCATTTTGACGAGTAGCTCTTATTGCAGCATTGAAGAGGGGAGGAGGGGAGGTGTAGAATGGATGTTGTCAATACAAAGGCGGAGTCCGGGCGGTGATGGGTCCCCCAGGTCCCATATCTTCCCCTTCCGTCTGTCTCTCATGGACGTTCAACCTCCTATTCTCTCTCATTCCCTGTCTCCTATCAAGAAGAAGTAATAATAGGTTAAAACTACACTTGTTGCTATATTAAAATTATATAATCCTCATTATATTCAATTTTCTGCCAGTTTCACACGAAATATACTTCATGATCTGTTAGCTGGTTAGCCACAGGAAGAGTAAGTTGATGCTATTTTGATGAGGTGCAGCAGCTCTAAGAGCTGCCCGTCACACGTTACCAATGACTAGTATCATGATCCTTGGTCTGCGGTTTTCTGAAGAGGAGAACTGGGCATCAACTCATCAATCCCGCTGATCTCTGTTAAGTTGGATAACCCCGAGTTATGGAGGGCTTTGAGCGCATCCATCTATGCGTCCCACTGGCTCTTCTTGCCTCTTTGATATCCTCAAACATACAGGTAGCTCAAATCATCTGGTAGACATTCCGCAAGCATGACATTTTCCTTTTTGCCTATACCTGCATGCACCCCTTTGGCAAAGTACAACAAAGTTTGAATTCCCATGCTCAAGCCTTTTAGGGCCACAAATTCCTTTAGTGATCCACTGTTCTTCCAAAGTAATCGGAGAATATCAGATTGGGCTCGAACCCATATGGATCAAGTGGTACAAGTGGACCACTTCTTACTTCATCCAATGTCCCTTTGTCTTTTTCTAGCATGTGAAATGGAAAATTGCACGGATAATCAACATCAAGGTCTAGAGCTTCTAATGTCATTTTATGTGGAAATATTGCTTTGATAGATGTCTTGATGTTGAAAGAGGTGTATCCCCTCTCACTGTTTCATTCGCCATTGGAATATTGAAATTCCCGGAAACCCTTACATGCCGATACCATTACCACGAGATTCATGATTTCAACTGATGAGCGAGGCAATGAGAATCTGCTCACATTGGGCCGGGTAATAATTGCAGGTTGTTCGCTGATTGTTGGCCACATCTCGCATTATCTTTTGCCTACATGCATCCTTCGCATTCCTTTCTATAAGACATAGACATTGTCTTTCAGGCCTCGACTTCCAGTCACCAAATCCTCCCTTGTGCCACTGAACGTGCCCTTATGCTTTGGCCTGTCGTCTGAACAACACCCCGGGATGTTCAGCATCTTTATTCGCGACAGAAAATGCCCGCTAACAAGATTTGAACCTAGACATCGATTCTAAGGCTGCTGTTAAGTCCACTCCGACTTCCATGTTACTACAGATGCCCCCCCCATCTTTAGGGATACGCGATGTAGTCCCATATTTGCTTTTGGTTTCCCGAGCCTCCACATTCGCGCAGGGAGTGAAAAGGTACGCACCGGAAGTCAAGGGATCCTAAGTATCTGCATACTCTCTCTGGTTGATGTTTGTCACCCTTCCAACTTTCAATACCCTTCTGCATCCTGGAATTGCCGGTGGATTATGCATTTCTTTGGGTCGAGAAATACTGTTCATGGAATTCATGTTACAGACCATCTCCAGGTGGGTATAACTTCGTTCTACTCGATGGTCTTGTGGATCTAACATTCTACGTGGTAGATCCTGATTATTAAGTCATGGGCCATCCCGCGAGCTCAAGGATACATTGTCGTTTCTTCGAATATATGCTCGATATTTGATCAATTTGCCGGATGGAGGCTTGTCCCCAAAACTCCTCAAAGATATCTCTACTGGGATGCCCAAAGCAGAGTGACCAGCTCATATATGAGCATCTCTGAACGCTATACATTATCAACGTCATTTGCCACTGCGGAGCAAGCTCGGTTGCGAAAGAGAAGCGAGAATCAGCCAATGCTTCATGATCAAGGCGAATGCAAGTGAGAGTTTGATCCGAAGGCACGAGAAGGATGGCCAAGGCCCAAGGCCTTGTTTATCGAAAACAAAAGACCACCGCAAGCGATCGAGGAGTCACAATTCATATCATTGAGGCGTGTGAAAGCCGAATTACTCAGTCTCACCTGGCAATTCCCAGTGGAAGAGGGCTATGTAACACGCTTCCAAGACCGTCATACGAGCCAAACTGGGCACATGAGCTTTTTGGATTTACACACATAACGGTATCCGCTAGGAGAGCAGCGAATCAAGAGATTTCTGGTTGTTCAATGCAAGAGGACTGGTCTAGAAACGCGAATCCCGACCTGGGGCGAAGTTGTCCTAACACGTAATGCTATCAAGTTAGTTATTTTCAATACTGCTCTTCTTCACTCCAGATCAATCAGTCCATAAATCTGTATACTGTATTCGCTTAGTGGTTCTTTGTGTGGTTATTTACATATGGACTTTAGCATGGGCCCAGAGACCACCAGCATAATACCGATCACAATCTAGGCCATGTCAGGTATCAAATTCAGTGGCGCCGCTGTAGTGCGCAGTGCTGCCTCCGCAAGAAAGAAACTACAGGCCAAAATGACTGCCGTATGGGCTTTCCCATAATGTTCGAACCGAACCTATTGGCAGTTAGCACATTCAGGCATTTCGTGCGCAAGGCTAGAGACGATTATGCAGGAGACGAATTTCCCTTGCTCGGCTTTCTCTCTATGTTCAACTGGGTGGTGCCTTCCCTTTCAAGTTCTGTCGCACCTTCCATTTTAGGTTGCCCCCCAAATCGGCGGGGTATAAATACCTACCCCCTCCCACTTTTCTTCTTCTTCTCTTTTTCTTCCTTCTTCGTTCCCTCTCGTAAAACTCGGGGCTTGGCTCGGGGTTCATAATGTGACACCACGTTGTGGGCCTGTGTCTGGTGAGAGGACCTGAGGACACCATGGAACCTTTGCCGCGGCCTAGGTTAGTCTGAAACTAGACTGGGACTTCGGTCCTGTCTAATGGCACGAAGCATGCCGTAGCCAGCCCTGCGTGCCTCTGCGGATACAGACTGTACTTCCCTAGGTTCTCCATTGGAAAGTGGGAGCTAAAGCCAACCCTTCCTTGGTCCTCGGACCTTGGACCTTCACAACCTTGGACCTTCGACAACTTCGACAACCTTCGACAACTTCAACAACCTTCGACAACCTTCGACACCTTCGACAACCTTTGACACCTTCGACAACCTTCGACAACCTTCGACAACTTCGACAACCTTCGACAACTTCAACAACCATTGACACCTTCGACAACCTTCGACACATTAGACAACCTTCGACACATTCGACAACAACCTTCCCCCTCTACCTATTGTCAGTTCCTCCTTCCTGTTGTCCGTTTCCCCCAACCCAGCTGCACGGGTCCTGTGTGTGGCACCTGAGCAAGACTTGCACCTTTACGTGGTGTTCAGGATGAGTAGCCCTTAATGGTGAAACCAAGCAAGTCCTCTTCTATCTCTTTCTCTTAGTGTTCTTCAAGTATTTCTTCCAGTATCTCTTCCATCTTTCTCTCTCTTCTCTCCCCCCAATCGTTGTCTCATTCTCCATCGTAGAAATTGGCCGATTAATGCCCATTCCGTAAGTTTCCAGCGATTGGGAGATACTAGCACCATGGAGTCTCATTAAGAGCTAGAAGGAAGCTATCAGCATGCACAAAAGCTAGGTCCAGTTACTAGCGTCTCCACCCAGAGCGTATTAACCCTTCACCTCAATCCATGGTATAGCCCATCTCTTCATTATTATCCCTCACAAGAATAGTCGACCGAATGAGGCTTTGTGATGTCTTTTCAGTGCTCATTTCAGTGGTCTCTTTGGTGGTCATCTCAGATATCATTCTGTTTAGATGTGTCAGTTTTAAAGGTCCACGGAGAATATGGGCGTAAAAAGGCTTAATTTGCTCAGACGGCTTTGCTATGTACACATCTAACATTACAGCATAGAATACGGAGCGAAGGCCCATGTTTACATGGTAGCCTTGGCCGTTTCATATCACAATTCCGCATGTACATTTGTTTAACTCTCGTAGAATATGCTAAAGCGAAATCATCATAGAAATTCCTTCAAGCTCTGTGTAATAGCAGCATTCACCTCAAAGTGGGCAATCCAAGAATTGAGGTCCCTAGCATTGCGACTGAATCGGCAATAATCTACAAAAAGAAACTCTACGATGCAAAAAAGTAAATAAATAAATCGTATATCGTGCCTTAGTATATACTACTTTCCGAACAACACATCCCAGCAGAATGGCTAAGTTCTACTGGTTGCCTTATTTGACAGTGAAGAACGACTTTAATCATTACGGTTGTTGAGGTATCCTAAATTGATACTTAAGTTAGCATATAATCCTCAAGGTCTTCCAGAAAAGATAAGCCTCACGAACCTTCAGCCTTGTTCAGCAGCTTGCTACCAAAGCTATCGCTGGAATCGTTGTTACCACCGTAGCTGTTGGAGCTAGAGTTGTTGCCATAGCTGGAGGAGTTGTTGTCGTTATCATTGTTGCCGTAGCCAGAGCTCTTGTTGCTGCCGTAGCTGTCCTCATCACGGTTGGAGCTAGACTTGTTGCCGTAGCTAGAGGAGTTGTTGTTGTCACCATAGCTGGAGCTGGAGTTCTTGTTTCCGTAGCTGGAAGAGTCGTTATCGCCGTAGCTGGAGGAGCTGGTGTTCTTGCTACCATAGTTATCCTCGTCACGGTTGGAGCTAGACTTGTTTCCGTAGCTGGAAGAGTCGTTGTCGCCGTAGCTAGACTTCTTGTTGCTGCTGCCATAGCTGTCCTCATCACGGTTGGAGCTAGACTTGTTGCCGTAGCTGGAGGAGTCGTTGTCGCCGTAGCTGGACTTCTTGTTGCTGCTGCCGTAGCTGTCGTCGTCACGGTTGGAGCTGGACTTGTTGCCGTAGCTGGAGGAGTTGTTGTCGTTATCATTGTTTCCGTAGCTGGAGCTCTTGTTGCTGCTGCCGTAGCTGTCCTCATCACGGTTGGAGCTAGACTTGTTGCCGTAGCTGGAGGAGTTGTTGTTGCTGTCACCGTAGCTGGAGCTGGAGTTCTTGTTTCCGTAGCTGGAAGAGTCGTTATCGCCGTAGCTGGAGGAGCTGGTGTTCTTGCTACCATAGCTATCCTCGTCGCGGTTGGAGCTAGACTTGTTTCCATAGCTGGAAGAGTCGTTGTCGCCGTAGCTAGACTTCTTGTTGCTGCTGCCATAGCTGTCCTCATCACGGTTGGAGCTAGACTTGTTGCCGTAGCTGGAGGAGTCGTTGTCACCATAACCGGAGCTGGTGTTCTTGCTGCCATAGCTGTCCTCGTCACGGTTGGAGCTGGACTTGTTGCCGTAGCTGGAAGAGTCGTTGTTTCCGTAGCTAGAGGAGTTGTTGTCTCCGTAGCCGGAGCTCTGGTTGCCACTGCCGTAGCTGTCGGACTCGTTGCGGTAAGACATTTTGGTAGGTTGTTTGAGGGATTTAGGTTATGTTTGGAGCAAGAAGATGGATAGGTTTCGGAAGGAGGAAGATAAAGTGGCTATTTAAGGGGTTCAATGCCAATCCCAACAGAAGCTGAGCGCTTTATTTATCTCTCACTAGGAACGTGGTCGAATAGAATAGAAGCGAACTGCCCCTCTCTAAACCCCTCAATGACAACATGCGGACAACCGAGGCGAGGCAGCAGGGGCCAATGATCGTGGCACGGAGAAGCTAGCATCTCCAGAGCTCACTAGTTTTTTGCTTATTTGGTATTGATTGCTCGAACCTTGGGAGCCACTTTTCAGCTGCTGTCGCCTAATTTGGAACTGACCCCATATTTCATCAATAGTTGATATGGTGATATCATCCAATCTACGAACAGAATATCACGCCACGGAGAAAGCCATGCGGGTCTCTGATTTGCCGGTCGAATTAGTTCTTTATTGCATCCGGACTTAGCCGCCTTGGGAATGGATAGAGTTCATTTCCCCTCCTTATGTGGCTGTATTTTTTGTTTATTATCATGCAGCCACAGGTCGAGACTCCTCGATATGAGAGAATAAATAGGATGTTGCTAATCCATAAACAAACGTACCTACATATGTACGTAGACGCCCATATTTCTTTTTGGGGGAGGGGGACCAATAACCTTGGAACTGATGGACCAATCATAATTAAAGATCTGACCTTTTCCGGGCCCACTTAGGCAAGATCTACCAAGATCGCGCTATCGATTTCTATGGTAACGTGATGCATTTATCTCCGAGATCCGCCCGTCTGTTTGGTTGGATTTTAGTAGTCCATGGTACAATTGAAGATCCCTCCTTACCTTGGTGGTCAAGGAGTTCCCGACAAAAGGTTTGCGCAATCTACCCCTCTTCTAGCTTTATTACTTGGCCCCGGAGGAGTTGACCGTGACTCCGTGGTGGGATGATCCCCAATCCTATGGTGTAGCTAAATTAGACTGAGTACAAAGGGCGTGTTAAGTGAGAGAGACAAGTTTAATTAGGTTGACATGTCTATCATATCTGCACAGATTCTGTCTGGGTATGTATTCATTCACTCATTCCCTCCAAATATGACTATTACTCCATCCAAGTGGTTCGTTTAGTTGGAGATCTTGTCGCTGACTTGCTTGCTAAATTTCAGAATCAAATATTAGCAGATATTCAAGCCAAAGAGATTTGTAGAGTGCCACTTACCCAGTGGCCTTCTCGTAAGCCTCGCGAGCACCGTCGGTGATCTTCTCCTGCATGTTGCGGTCAATGTTGTAGCCAGACTTCTTAGCACCCATGGCGAAGGCTATGTAAAGACTCGTCAGTCTGAAGTTCGCATTGCGCAAAGCAAGATAAATCACTCACCCTTGTCAACGTAGTCGTCGTTCTGCTGGGTGTTGTTCTCGGCAGGCTTGTCCTCGCTCTTGCCGCCAGCGCTGGAAACAGCCTTCTTGATGAAATCCATTGTGTTGGTAATTGTATGAATTATTTGTGAATTCAAAAAAAAGGTAATGAGTAGAGAAATGGAAGAAGAAGAAAAAGAGATCGGGGAATCCGTCCAACTAGGTAAAAGCTGCCCCTCTTTTGCCAAGATTGCCTTAAGTGGCGGTTGCTTTGCTGTGGGGCTCTCTGTGGCTGTGCTATGACACTAGTGATATTTGTGGCGTTTTGCTGTGGCACCACTGTGGCACACTAGTGAATTGCGGTTTGTTGGGAATCTTGGGTTCTCTACTCCGTAGTCTCGAAGAATCACATGCCATTTCAAATAATTTCATGCCAAAAATTAATCGGCACTAACTTTCCTAATACAAGTTGTTATACACAGTTTTAAAAGACCCTTCAAAAAGAACTCCAAGGAAAATGCTACCCAACCCCCCAAAAAATCCTTAGACACCGAAACAGGCCTTGTTGGCAGATCGAACAGCTTCCTTCTCACCCTCGCTCATGGCATCGGTGATCTCCCAGGGAGTGTTACCCAAACCCATAGCACGCTGACCCTCGGGGCTCAGCGCTGACCAATCCATAGCACCCTTGAAACCTGCCTCGCCGGGTCCACCAGCACCAGGGAAGTCCCACGGAGGTGAATAGGTTTGCGCAGCCTGGCGCTGCTTGAGAAGGTATTCAACATTCATATCGCACAATGGGGTAGCAGGAATGTACATAACACTTGAGTCCTGGCTACCGCGGTGCTCCTTGTCCACAGAGTGAAGAGAATCGCAGTGCCAGGCGACAAAGTCACCAGGCGCAACCTCTGGTACGGATACCATGGTCGACTCGAGATCGAGGTGAGGATGTGTGACCGGGTTGTACTCTTGGCAAGCGCCAGGTACAGATCCCGGGAATGTGGCATCCAGGGCTGGCTTCGAGCTCTCAACGTCGAAGAAAGGACGCAGAATGGTGTATGCCGTGCTGTGGCTGATCATGGGGCAGACGTGCAACGAGCCCTCACCGGGTTTGGTGTCCGACATAGACAACCAGGCCTGGAAGAACCGCAGCATTGAGCATGCTCCGGCACCGTTATATAGGTCCATTTTAGCGTTCAGGCGGTGTCGCGCGTCCCATGCGTCGTACTGCTCCCAGTTTCCTTCTAGGATCTTGGTATAGACTTTGGAGTACTCGGGGTCTTCCCAGCGCTCCAGGGAACCACCGTCAACGTGCGGTCCGAGGGCGAATTTTGAGTCGCCTGGATCACGGATGCGCAGACGGTCTGCGTAGGTGAGTGGGTTGGTGGTTGAGATCTTGCTGTTAGGGTCGGATGAATGCCACAGCTGCTGCATGAAGCGCTGGGTGTTGAGCATGCTCTCGTGGGCGCGGGCTTCGGCCTGCGATGGAGTCCAGTACAACTCATAGACAGCTGGGGAGTCAGCCGGGAAGGCCTTAACTCGCTCCTTGTTAGCGGCCACGTAGTCGCGGATCCGTTGCTTATACTCTAGAGCTTGGTCCCGGGGGATCACATTGCGGACGACTACGCTGCCTCGGTGGCGGATCTCTTTCAATGCGGCTTCAGACACCTTTCCGGAGATCACATCAGAGTACTCAATTGAGGGAATGATCTGGTATTTCTGAGTCAGTATTTTTTTGTTCGAGAATGTGGGTCAATGCGCACATACATCACTGCCCTTTGCCTTGATCTTTTGCACTTCAGCATCCAAACTAGGAAGCAATCGCTCCCAACTCTTTGTGATGGCATCTTTGTTCTTTTCGAAGATGTTCCTCTTCAGCTCCTGGAACCGTGCAGGGAGAGGCTCTGGCTTGTAGTCGGGTCTTAAGCTAGGGAAAACCGATGAGATGTCACCGGCGGCCTTGGTTGTCTGGGCGGATGTAGAGGCCGCCCTGACGGCAGTTTTTGAAATGAACTTTGACAACGACATGGCTGAAATGAATTCACAGGTGTCTACTCTAACTTTGCGGGGATCTTCAGCGGTGCTTTATATGCGTTTCGTGGGGAACACAACATGGCGGGAATATCCCATAAACGGTAGTCGAACCGCTATCCGAAAGAGTGATTTGCGACGGAATTACTCGATTCGGCCATCTACCCGCCTAATATTGTCCGCCATGACATCAGTCCGCAAAGAATTTATCATTTATGAGGCTAAATATGACAATAGTGCCGAATAAATTCCCCCGAAAGTCTGGCCCGTTTCAGAATGCCATTCGGGAATCCGGCAAGCCGCCATTATGAAGAAGGCTATCAGTATAGAAGATCTACATTGGAGACCCGAGTACTATGCAAATTGAAACACCATATGCCAGCAAACATGCCACTTGGTATGAAGTTGCACTTTTACTAAGGATATTATCGATCGAGTATTATAACCGCTGTTGTTTGATGTTTGACGGATTAAACAGAGCAGATTACTAGAGGTTTAAATATGTGCTTGACAAATATACTCTATACCCTCCAGGACTCTGCAGCAAGTATCTCGGACAATCCATCTGGCTTTCCCCAGTTTGGGCTTCAAAGCCAAAGTCAGTCGTACCGAGCCCTACCCTAGTGACCCTGTGGGCCACTTTCTGATCCAGAACTATACCATGTAGCACAGTTTTACACCGAACAATTTACCTCAGTACCAAACCAAAGGTGTGGTAGAGCAAGACCCAACAAGAGTGGACTCCTGGCAGATGACCTGACGTACAAGGGAAACGAGGAATTAGACTGCCATTGAGCACCATACGGTATAAAAGAATCTCGGGCATCACGCCGGCCTCGGTCCACCTTCTCTCTCGCTCCGGCGGGTAAACGCTTTTCTACCCCGCGAGATCTTAAAATGGATACGGAATGCGCTGCAAAAGACCCCGAGCACGTTCCACAAGCTCCATCTCGGTATAAAAGCTGTAGAGCCCCCACCCCCCCCCCCCCACCCCCAACCCCACCCAACCCCCCAAAAACTGTAGAGCCCCCCCCCCCCCCCCCCCGTAGAATCTGTAGCACATTCATCGTTATACTTTAAAAATGTCTCTCTCTGTGAAAGGAAGGGCTGCGATTATAACTGGAGCTGGTTCCGGTATGTTTCCCATGTGCCTTATCAGACAGCCAGCTTACGCTGTAGCCAGGTATCAACCTCAGTTTCGCCAAACTGCTAGTGGAAAACGGCTGCAATGTCCTAATCGCAGACCTAGCCTTGCGTCCGGAGGCACAACTGTTAGCTGATAAGCACAAGACCGGGCCCGCACGAGTGGTCTTCCAGGAGACTAATGTGATTGAATGGGTTCAGCTCGAGCGGATGTTCGAGGTTGCGGAGAAGGAATTCGGCGAGATTGATATCGTTTGCCCGGGTGCGGGAGTCTACGAGCCGGTAAGAGAAACGACGACCCCAACTGAACTACAAGCATCACTACAACTGCAATAAATATAGCACTGGAGTAACTTCTGGCGCCCGCCACACTCAACCGCAAGCAAGGACTCGGCTTCTGGCGGCCGATATGCTTTGATCGATATCAACATCACCCATCCGATCCGCACAACGCAGCTAGCGATT